CACTGTAAAAAGTAACAGCAGCCCCAGGCAGAAGACATGAAGGAGCAATTTGCATACCTGTACAAAAGAAGAACAGAGCCAAGTTCTGCTATCTTCAGCTCTAACTGGAGGGGCACTAATCATTTTGTGAACATAGACCTGTCTATTTAATGTTGGGGGGTGGGGGTGAATGAAGTGTGAAAACACCAAATAAAAGTTTAGTAGATCAAATAAGCTTTTATGAAACCAGTGAAGAGGCTTTCAGAAGATTTTATATTTTAAATCTAGACATTCGACTCAAAAAGCTCAGTTGATTTATGCAAGAATGAGACCTTTAATAGACAAGAAATCTACATTATGTTACGCAACTATCTAAATTTGACAATCAGCAATAAGTGTTTGAAAACTAGTCAAATAACTACAAATAATATTTATTCCCCATTTAATTATTGATTCCATTTTGACAATAAAACATGCTTTTCTACTTTACTAATATTTAAAGTGGCTTCAAAAAGTGCCACATTTTGTCACTAAGTGCTGACAAACAGTAAAACAAAATATTTTTATTCATTCCATTCTATTAGAAAAGCATGGATAATTATTTTGTTGTTGTTTAAGGTAATTGTATTTTTATATTGATTTTTAAATGCCTTTGTTTTATATGAGAGTAGGCTCTTTGGAAAAAAATGGTGCACTTCAGATGTTGTTTACACTCATATTTTTGCACTAATTCAGTAAACTGTTTGATTAAATTACCAAATAAACTTTTAGATGAAAAAATATTCTGTTTTTATTTTTTACACAGAAAGAAAAGTAAGTAAATTAACAGTATGTATTTTCATCATTAGAATTTTTTCCATAAATTAAAAAAAACATTGGTTATTATTATTATTTTATATATATATAAACTGATCAGTATAAAAGTATATTATCATTTTAACTATAACAGACAAATAATTCCAAATAAGTGTTGAAAATAAGTGCTAAAGTAGGTCTGAAATAACTGTATAAAGTTGCCACGATCCTCAGTGTTTTTACTCTGCATTTCCTACAAATTGTGCACTCTGTTGTCTGATAAGTATCAGACTACAGCTAATGCACATATCTATTTTATCTAAATTTAATTTTCCTGTTTCATTTTGCCCAGTGTGGAAAAGAGGATAAAAAAAGTGCCATTATGGATTTCAATTAGGTGATCCCTGGGCAGAGAGAGATGCGTCAGAGAGAGGAAATTAATGTGCTGAGGACAGATGTTTAATAATAATGGCTGAAGCAGCCCTGCTGAGAAACACACATTCCATTCGTTGTGCCAGCTGTGGCTGTGAGGGAACGCACGCTTGGCACAACACTGGAAAAACATAGACCCACACCAACTTTTGTATAATCACTCATACACCAGCACATGCAGTAATGATTAAAAATAAAGATACAGTGCAGAACACTGAGAGTTTCACACACTCACAGAAGCTGGAATCGCCACTGGGCTGTGAGTCTTTATGACCAGCACTGGCCACAGCACATATGGCTCTCATTTATGAACAATGACCACGGAGAACGACGGGCTGGATGAGCTTCTTGACTGTAGGAGGTGACTCGATGCATGTTAAGTGACATGTCCCGCGTGGAGCAATGGGAGTGAGAAGGAAAAACAGGGATGATTTGTGGGTAATTTTGAATAAGAACGTATTGGCTCTCTGCTCTGCGTGAAGAAAATGATGTTAGAGAACAGGTGGTTAGACTGGGTCCAAAAGTGGATTATTGAACTGTGTGTACCCATGCCTATTTATAAAGTGCTCCCACTCTCTTTTTTGTGTCATGTTCACACACGCAGTGACACCTAATCAGTGTTTTGTCAGGACAGATAGCTTCCAGCCATCCTGTTTTTTTCTAAAACATCACTCCCAAAAATTTCTCTCCCCTCCCCACACACACACACACAAACACACACACACGCACACACACATTTCATACCCACTTGTCACAACAACTCGCCAGTAATTACCAGGGTGGCTGCCCACCTACCTCCTTTCGATGAATGAACTGGGAAACCATGGGTTCGCCCCTGCAGCCATAACTCTAAACCTCGAATGTCTTCCTACTGGTTTTCACCACTGCAGTGGCCCTCGAACAGTAAATTGGCCTCAGAGAAAGACAGAGACAGCAGAATCTCAAACAAGCTCTGCAGCCAGAGAACCAGGCATGTCGATATACAGACATAAAAAAAGCGTTGAAGCAGACACATACTCATTCACTTTCACTATTTGTCATTTCCCTGTCTCTAAGGAGTAATCTGTAATACTGAGATACCTCTGACCAGTGGCCAGACAGGCATCTTTGCTTGCGGAGATACAAAATTGCTCCTACTGACACACACATACACTCTGCTGAGTTGATCATTTTGACAGGAGAATATGACGGAGGAGAAGTGGAGTAAAGATGAGAGGAAGCAGGGAAGCGAGAGCGGGGAGACTTAAACTGATAACTGATGGAGGATGATAACATCAGGAAAGGAAGGAAATAAATGAAGGAATGGATGGAAGAGGTGAGACAGCAAGTAGATCAATACACACATTCACAATCTGCATCTTAAGAACTGACATTTTTTTAAACCTATTCTGGGATTTTTCACTGTCTTACCTATTATTTGTAGAGTACTGCATTAGTTTTAGTAACGTTCTTATAGCTGCTGCTGACCAAGTCTTAAGTGCTGAATCAAAATACATTTGCTTGAAAATGTAACTGGAATATTTTAACCAGAACACTTAATCTACGTATATCAAAAACAAGTGGGTGCTATGACCACAGAGTGTAGCAAAAAACAACGACATATACACTTAAAAAAAAAAAAAACTTTACGCAGCTTTAATTGCAAATTTGCATTTGTTTAATGACGACACACAGTTATTTTTTCCCCTACGAGCCGTGAACGCATCACAGCAACGGGACGCACCCGTGTTGTCATGACAACCAGTTAACCAACGACGTCTGCGTAAACATGGCGGAGCTTTGGAAAGTAAAAAGTGCAGAAGAAGAGTTCAAAAAGGAATACTTCTTCAGAAACAGGTGTATATCATATTTTTACAGATTCTTAAAAAAAATGGACTAACTGTCGATGTTTTTTCCCCCCCATCCATTTTAGCCTATCTGACACATGCTAACGTTTGAGTCATGCTTCGTCGTGTTAGATTTTTTTTAAATGTTTCTGTTGTGGCCCTTACCAACAGACAACTCATGTTCGGTGCAAACACCGTCGTGTTTCTTTTTTTATTGGTTACATTAAATTCATCGTGAGTCATCAGGAAGAGAGCACAGTCTGTGAAGAGTTTAGGAAAGCAGCACTACTTTCTACTGCGGAAGTTATTTGCGTGGTGTGGTGCACATTACAAAATGTTACAGTGATATAATAACTTACCTAAAAACTTCTTGGGATATTTTAATATTCTGTCCTGGCACTTCAGGGAAGCCGAGGAGAACAGACAGAGAGAGACCCGGGCCGTCATCCGAATTCAGAGCTGGTTCCGAGCCTGCAAGGTGCGAGCATACCTCAGGTAAACGTGTGCAGTGAGAGTTTATGTTAAACCGCGAGACAAAATGATAATAATATACACAGACACACTAAGTTACCCTTGATCAAGGTCAAGCTTCTTTGTCATTCTCATCATATGTGGTACATGTGGTGGAACGAAATTGTGTACACAGGGTCCCAGTTACATCCAACAAAAGAAAATGGAACATCTAAGATATGAACTAAGAAATATGCTAAACTAAGAATACGCTAAGCACTGATAGTACAAAACCGATACGCTGAACAACAGCAGCACGAACATGAGTTTGTGTGAGCAGATGAGTTTGAATGAACACAGCAGCGTGAAATAAATCAGCAGCGTGAGATCAGCATCATGGATAGTCAGCAGCACATATCAACAATCAAGTGGCATTACAGTGATTTTTTTTTCACAGTTTTTTTTACATATTTTTGTTTTTATGGTTTTCACAGTTTTTTTTTTTTTTTTTTAAAAAGTTTTTTTTTTATGTGGTCTTTCTTCCACAAGGCTGTGAAACATTTTGGCTCTGAGAGTTAATTTCAAGGGAAACACTGATATAGGCTCACTCCTATAATTATCCCACTTCCAGAGCTTTGCAAATGTCCTCAAGTAATAATTGTAGCCCGGACTCAGAGCTCTTTTGACACACAGGGAGAAATGTATGTCTCTATATCTTCTGTGCTTCTACTGATACCATGACCCCAGCACCATTCTGCAGGGTCAGCAGACAAACTTCCAGACTGTAGGTTAATTCAGATTACTTTAGTTAATTGATCAAAGCGTTAAGTGGATAATTAGCAACAATTTTAGCTGCCTAAGTGCAACTCTGAGGTTGTGCTATCCCCCCTATAAGCATTGATTTTCTGGGCATATAAATGGCCTTTTGGAAATTGATGGCCTCGTTGGAGGCCGGGAATCACAGTGGACTTGCATTTAGAGTATGTTTGAAGATGAATACAAATGTGCACAGCTGACTAAGGGGTGAAAGGCTCATCTGGCATGATTGAAAAGGCTGGAAAAGCAAGGGGCTTCCATGTTTATGTCTTTGTGAGAATCTACTTGAAAGTGTAATGTTTGTCTTTGTGAGAATCTACTTGAAAGTGTAATGTTTGTCTGACCTCTTAAGTCGTTTTGCATCATAAGGCTGCAGAAAATTCATTTTATTTTCTGTAACAAGCTTTTTTTGTAATCACAAGAAATTTGTGATTCAGCTAATTAAATTATGCACTTCAATGAATGAATGAATGAATAACTACATAACATAAACAAAAGAGCTTAGATACTTTTTGTTGTTTATTTTTTCCTATATATATTTAAGCAAAATGTCAACACTTTTTTTTTTTAAATTAAACTAATAAAAATACACACCCAGTCCTCTCCCCAATTTGATTTTTTTTTTCCACAGCCATTTGCACAAGAAAGCAGTCATTATACAGAAGCTATGGCGGGGCTTCACTGCAAGGGCACACATCAGACAAATGGTGAAGGTAAGTTAGAGCCTGGAAAAGCTATAGATATATTGATTATGTTATGATAGCATGCATTAGAATTCAATTGCCATACTCCTAAGTCCCTGCCTCTGACCTTAAGAAATATAATTCACTCATTACGCATTTGGAAATGAACACTTAGCAAATATGATGGAATATGATAAGGAATTCCATCTCTGTTGCATTACCAGGGATGCATTTAGTAAGAGTCTAGTGCGAAACGGATATAAGAAAACTGTTGTGTACATGATGATTGTGTATGTGTGTGCTTTAGTAAAACAAGTCCCCATTTTCAGCTTATTGCCTCCAACTGCTTCTTAATTGAACAGATTGTTGATACCGGATCCAATACCCAGCGCCCTCACGTATAATTTTCCCCTGGATTGAGTTTTGTAAACGTATCACAACAAGCTATTTATCATGCCTGTAAATTGACTGTTTGCTAAAGCATAACTGCCAGCCGTCGTTTGGGAGGCGTTCAAGAAATGAATAGGAGGGGGTGGGGGGTGCGATGGGTGATAAAATAAACAATGAAGGATGTGTCACAACACACATATGGGTTAAAATGAGGCTGTTTGGTTTTATTTGAAAACAGATGAGCGCTAATTTGAATCACTCAAAAATTGCCACAGAGCAGTATTTTGAATTAGCTCAGAGAAATTCCACGCTTCGCCTCCTCTATTGCTCTCTGTCTGTCTTCTCCTGTCTCGTGGACTTTATCATGTGTAACGTGACTTGCACAAAGCTTCTTCACAAAACATCAAGCTGAATTTACAATCCCCTTTCAAGTCTTTGTCTTTCTCTTCCTTCTTGTCTTTCCTCGCTTTCTTGTCTTTATTGAAAAAGACGTGTTGAAATATGAATCCCTTTTATAGCCAACACTCCAGTTTGCTTCTGAAATGTGCCCCCAGTGGTCGACTAGCACGTTTTGTCTGCGTGATGGCTTGTTGAGTGTGTCGCTGAATATTCTCTGGCCCTTTGTTAGTCTCTTTTGTGGCAGGGCTGTCATTGATTATGAAATCCAGAGGAGAACGTTTGGCCGTCATACATCTCCATTAGTGCGCTGCTTGACTACCATAGATTTTCTTGGCCCTTGTCTGTGTTAGTGTATTAAGAGAGTACTGTCCTCCCCTTGATACAAAGTCCCACTAACCGCTTTCTCTCTTCCTCTCTCCCTCTCTCCCTCCATCCCCCTGATTTTTTCTTATTCCTGTTCTCTTTCTTGCTTTCTCTCTTTCTGTTTCCACCCCCCTTCCCATCCTCTCCTTTACGATGGCCCTATCTGGGCTGTCTCTGTGCAATGTATTATGTATAAAGAGCTCTTTATCTTTGATGCCTGCTGTGGACAGATCAGAGGGCCGGGAGACAAGATGTAACGGCATCTTTTCCTTTGTGTTCACAGGCGGCATATTTTATCATGAAGATGAATTTCTACGAGGAGATGGCGGTCAGGGTAAATATCACCACAGTGTCTTGTATTAGCAAATGGAGTGTCCTGGTGGGGGGACACTGTGGTTCTGTGTGTGCAATAAGTGGGTGTCCCCATGAATTTCAGTCTTTAAAAATACATTGACATACAATTTTGTTGCACTAATTTTCCACTTTGGATATTGTTTTCTTATTTCTTATTTTTGAACATAATAACAGTTTATGCAGCAATAAGTAAGTAAGTAAGTAAGTAATATTTATTTATATAGCACCTTTCACAGACAATGACATCACAAAGTGCTTCACAAAGTAAAAGTAAATAAAATTTAAATAAAAGCCAGTCTGAATAAATAAGTCTTAAGATCATTTTTGAAAGAGTCAATGGAATCTGAGCAGCGCAGTGACAGAGGAAGAGCGTTCCAAAGCCTGGGGGCCACCACTTGGAATGCTCTGTCTCCACGTGTTTTAAAATAAGTTCTCGGAACTATCAGCAACATTTGATTTGAAGATCTCAAAGTCCTGATGGGACATAGAGGCTTCAAAAGGTCCAGTAAATATTTGGGAGCCTGACCATGAAGTGCCCTAAAAGTTAGAACCAGAATTTTAAAATGACTCCTGAAATGCACAGGGAGCCAATGCAGGGAGGCCAGAACAGGAGTTATGTGAGCTCTTCTGTGGGTTCTAGTTTGAAAAGATTTCTTGCTTACATTCTGACAACTTGGCCTGTTTGTTACTGGATTCCCTACTAAGTTTTTGAGAAACTGCTTCTGAGCCTCTCTTGCATTTCTTCCGAACCATAATTATGGACTTGTTTTGATCAGTTGGTCCCTCAACTCAATTTACAACATTTCTTCGAAGAGAAGACAGGCTTTAGGCAAGCCGATTTTCCCTGTTGGCTGGATATCTCATCGACTTGATGATGTGTCTGTCTCTGCTGCCATTTGTGGATTTTAAGGACACATTTAATTGGATTTACTATAACTGGTTCCTGCTTTTTGGATTTGGCTGGTTGCTGGTTTTATCTACAATCAAGGAAGTCATTGGCAGAAAATTTGGACCCAATCATGCTGCTTGCCTTATGATGGCTTGGTTTGTATCTCAAGTACCCAGACTCAAATGCTTTGGGCAGAATGGATCAGATCTCTGGGATTTTACTCAATTACGTTCCATCGGTGTGGCCATGTAATTTGGACATTTCGGAACCGAGTGGACCAACACAGACTCGAGGTAGATGTCATTAAGTTCTGCCTATCCCCAAAACAACGGTGTGCTTATCTGAATTTGGCTCCCTTGGCTGGCCTTGAAGGTCATCTTATCTGAATTCACCTGGAGAACATGTGATTTGACGCTCACCACCTCCTCCCTGAAGAATTTCCAACTGATAACCAGATGAAACCAGCTGAATAAACTTTGTGTCATCATTTCAGGACTCTTGGATTTTCATTGTCGTTATTCTTGGCCATTCCTCGACATACCTCGAGAATGTTTATGGATCTCACTGGAGGACATTGGCTGATTATTAATTCTTTATCAGAACTCCTACAGTGATCTCGAGAGCATCTATGATCATGCTCACCGCTCTCATCGTCTCCCCTCTCTGCAGAATGTCTATGTCATTATATGCTTGTTTGTGCGAGGTGTTTTTTAATATCAGAGTTTTTTTTCTTCTCAGGCAGGAAAAAAAAAAAGTCTGATAGGAATTTTTCCGGCTCCAATTCCTACATGTGTCCAGTTTATCACTTTTATTGTCTGTCCAAACAGGTCTCACTTGTAAATGAGTCTTTGAGGCTCAATGTGACTTATCTGTCTAAATAAAGGTTGAATGAAAAGACCTCTTCAAACCTCTTTCAGGGACCATGTTTGTGGAATGGTGTCTCCAAAACTGCATTTTTCAGAAGCAGGCTCAAAAAAGTAAAACCTTATGTTGATGCATTTACTGCAAAATCAAAGTCCAAACAAATTCCATTTAAAATCTGTTATTTTATGGCTTATCTGTGGCTGCATCCACAAACGAAAGTGGAAAAAAGTATAATCGCTGCTTTAGACCAGAATCAGTTTTAGAAAAGGGAAGAATGACACAACATATACAGCATATCCATAACATAGCATATAATTCTTTCTTTCAGTTTCCATGTTATACAGAAGTCCCTCGTTTATCGTGGGGGATCCGTACCCTATATGAATCATGCCCCGAACAGAACTGGATAAAACCTAATATTATTCACTATTCTCTTTGCTTGTTTTAGGAATTCCAAACATGGTTTTAATAAAAGTTTTATCAGTTTTTTCAGCAGTCACTGAGTTACCTCACAAATTACAACACTGTGGTCTTTGATTTCTTGGCACTTTTACACAAGAACATTTCCTAGAAGTTTGTTCTCACCGTTCCATAAACATTTACTTTCAGGCAGTCTGAATCATTAAAAGATTTTAAAGAGCAACAACCCATTAGTGGTGTTTATTAAGGGTATGGCATGGTTCAAATGTACAAAAACGATTATAGTATTTTCATATTGATGGAGAAAAAAAACTGTGTTTTTTTTGTGTTTTATTGTAACATAAACAAATGGAATTGACCACCAGGATGTTTCAGGAAAAAATGCTATTATAAAAATAAAATTCAAAAATAGATGTCCCAACTTTTTAGGTCTCAGGATAACACTTTATAGTCATCATTATGATTCATAAAACAGCTATGCTGAAGTTGCAGGAAAGGCTTTAAGTGTTCATTTCAAATAAACTTTATATTCATATAATGTTTAGTTTTTTTCTGATAGGAAACAATGTCAGTTACTAAATAAAAAAATATGAGAAACAATGCAAGAAAGGCTTTGGTTTAATTCTCATATGAGTCCAATGATGTTGTGCTGTGCATTCTTTTTGACTGTGATTTATTTTTGTATTTTTTTAATCGTTGTTCCAATTTTAGCCCACTGCCCTTGACCAAGACTTACCTGAGAAGTATAGTGTGTCCCTGGACATAACACTTTTTTGATAGTGCCAACAAACAAATCTCTAGAAAAATGCTGACTATGTTTTTTTAATTGATTACAGAGATTTTAAAGACACAGATCTCATAAATAATTAGGTTTTTAAGCACCTGAAACTGTTGTTTGTTTATGATGCCAACCCTGGACATTTTTCTTGCCACTAGAAAATGAGCCCAACAGAGTAAGTATGTAAAAGATTAATAAGCAATGAATGTTTGTACTCTTTTTACTGAAGAACTATTGTTTAAATTTAAAAAAAATGGAGAAACTATAATCTTAAGATCCCCTTGTAACATTTCCTTTGAATCAATTTTGACTCTATTTTTATCTCTCTCCTCCTCATGTCTTTATCACGGTGTGGTAGATAACAGAAGATAATGTATTAAGGCCGTAATAGAAACCAGTGTTTACATGCTGCACCTCGGATTTGTATTAGATTCAACAGCATTGATTTCACTAGTCAACAAAGGTCAGCAAGAACTTGGGTGGCGCCAATTACTTTATTTAAAATTATCTATTGACTGGCAGATCAATGCTAATTCTCATTTTGCTCATTGTTGTTTTTCCCCATCCTCCATTCATCCGTCTCTCCCCTCTTCCGTCTTCTCATAGCATAATAATTCTTTTACCTGCCATTGTTTTATTCTCCTAATTAGTCTGAAGGACATCCACCATTGCTTTAAAATGGTCCACTGGTGTGTGGGGGTGTATGTGCTTGTTAATCTGCAGCCCCCTCAATCAGTGCAGACTAAAACTGGTAAATATAGAGTCATGATTGTTGTTGGTTCAACCTTGGACTGCTCTTTTGTCACGAGTCACGACTAAATAAAAAAAGTTTGAAAATGTTTCTTCAGTATTTGGCTATACTAATTTACACATACGTTATGCTTCCAAATTTCATCCATGCATTATTTTTACCCGCTTCTTCCTTTTCGCGTCACGGGAGTCACTGGTGTCTATATCCAGCAGTCGCTGTGCAAGAGGCGGGAGACAGCTGGACAGATCGCAGGTCCATCACAGGGACACGTAGAGACAAACGAGACCAACATAAATCAGATAAACATTCTCACTCACACCTAGGGGCAATTTAGAGTTACCAATCAGCCTAATGTGCAAATTTTTGGTCGGTGGGAGGAAACCGCTGTACCCTGAGAAAAGTCATTCACACATGGAGAGAACATGCAAAATCCACCCAGAAAGGCCCCCAGCAGGGATGTGACTTGGTGACCTTCTCACTGAGAGGCAACAGCTCTACCAACTGAGCCACCGTGCCACCTGCATCTAAATTTGATCTTGGTATTTACAATGTTATGAAAATAACCTTTTTGCTGCTTTACAGATTCAGGCGAGGTGGAGAGGATTCTTTGTCAGGAAGTACATCCATGACTTCTACGCACGGAAAAAATACTTGGAAAGACTCCTTGTAAACAACGAACTTATGAGGTACATCTATGAAAATATGGTCCTAATTGAATAAAAATAGCAGCTGTTTTGTATGAAAGTATGTGATACATAGTTTTCAGTAAAACTTAAATTGTACTGCATTGTAATGAGGTTTCTGATATTCTTCGATTGTAGCATAAGTTTAATATTGAATTCAATTCAGTTTATACAGAGCCAATTCACAACAGATCTCATCACAGAGCACTGTACAAAAATATTCACATACATCATAAAATGCTGATTAGTAAACATGATTTATCTATTTAAGAAGCAGTCTGGGAGTGAAGTACTCTGATTGGAAAATATGGAACAGTGGAGTCCTTAATGTAATATGGAGCTCTCTAAAACTAGAGAAATATGATCTTTCCTTTGAACTCTCATTAGAACACTAACAGCAGCATTTCTGGACTAAAGACCTTTTAAATATTTTTTTGAATTTTAATAATTCCAATAGTCCAGCCTAGATATGAAAAATGCATGGACCAGTTTTTCTGCATCATTTGGGGACAATATGTTTCTAATTGTAGTGATATTATGCAGATGGAGGAATGCGGTGCTGGTAACTTTTTTTTTAATTTGGAGGTTAAATGACATAACCTGATCAGAAAAACCTAGGCTTTTTAAATTAAGACTTGAGGCCAAATGAATGCCATCCAGAGGAAGTGAAAGGCTGCAAAGTTTATTCCTAAGATGCTCAGATCCAAAAATCACAACCTCAGTCTTGTCAAAGTTTAAAATCAGAAAATTAAGGGTCATCCAGGTTTTTTCATCTCTAAGACAAGCTTGTAACCTAAGTTCTGGTCTAATGAGTGAAGGGGCAGTGAAAACCTGTATTCGTTTTATAAAATATGATATAACCAAAGCAGCAGGAATAGAAAAATGAGAAAAAAAGTCTGAGACATGTAGCGTATGAAAGAAAGGAAGAGGAAGATGTGAACAATGTGACGAAATTTTAAAAAATAATGCCTCTGATCTGAACTGCAGCTTGTACATTAATAAAACATTCTGCGCTTCAGGGCTTAGTACCACAAAAATGCCATATTTTATTTTTTACTGAAAAAAAAAAAATTCACATTTAGCTAATCAGTCATATTTTTAATGTTGTTAATATATTTTACCAGAATATATCTTTAGGCTTCTGCTAAAATTAAATGTAAATTTGTTAAAGTTCTCCCTGGATCACTGACTCGCTTCCTTTCTTCCCCACCAGGGTTCCATCCTTTCTTCATGCTCCTTTAAAGAAAAGAGACACTAGGGCGTTAAACTCCATGCTACTATATTACTACTTTATAATTATACAAATATTACACAAAGACACACACACTACCCTGTGAGATATTCTAGCACTCCAGACCAATGACTGACATTACTGTGCTTATGAACATAATCAAGTTTATATTTTTACCAAGATACCAAATTTTGCCCATTATATGCATTTTAATGAACTTATATTAAAATTGAGGGTTTTTTTCTGAGTTTGAAAAGTACAAAAAAATGAATCAGTTGAGCTTTGATGTTGTTCAGGTTTATAACTTTAATGTGTTGCATATAAAATATGTTGCAATACCCTGATTTGTTTCACTAAAACACACTTCTACACACAAAACCTCTCGTTTATTGTGGGGTGTTCAGGTCACTTTCGCTCCAGTTAATCTTATGTTTATTCAGTGCTGCTGGGATCATGATCAATTAACAGTGTTCCTTCATTTATTTAAAACATCCTTTCTGTGCTCGCTCTTTAACCCTGAGATTGCTCACTATCTGATCACTCATCCTGCAAATGTCTGCTATTTAATCCACCAGAAATGTCTTCTCTCATTGTAAGTGTGTCTGTATATTCAAACCATTGAACATATTATTGAGTGCTGGATTAATGGTGCCCATTGAGTGAATGTTGAGTCATTGTGCATGGCAGTGACACAGAGTAGTACATCCACTGGCTAACCATTTTTTTTGTCCATTCACACTCATAGTCTCCATTTCAGTCTTTTTTTTTTCTCTGGAAACAGATTTCCCCAGCACAAAACCATCTGTGCCATTTCATTAGGTACAGCATCCAACTAATCCCTGCCACTTACACCATACTCCTCTATCGTCTGCCTCATCCCCCCCAATCCCTTAATCTCTAAATCTCACCTCTCTCTTTTCTTCTCTCTATCTTAATCTATTTAACTCTATATCTTTCCCCCCCTCTCGCTGCCACAGGTCCACTGTGTTTCCATGTCCATCTTCATTCATCCTTTTTTCTCCTGCATACCCTAATGAAGTCAAGACCCCAGCACAGTCCCCACTCTGCCACAGTTTTTCTTGATACCCTAACAATTTATCACTTTGTCAGGGTGACACAAAGTTCCCAGGCTTTAATAAGGGCATGCAGCGGGACGATAGGGGTAACTAGGAAAGCAGAGCAACCGCACTTTGCATATTTACTAAATGTCTTGGTGTCATCGCTGCTGCTACTAACACGGCCTGTTGACTGCATGAATTATTCCTCTATCTATAGCAAACAGCTGGGTAATTATTACTGCCATAATCAGATAAATAATTATCCCTGTGTTGTTGCAATGGCATGGTAAAATCTACTAATTTGTACCTACAAGTAAGAAAAACAGAAATGAGGAAGAATTTATGGATTGCTACTTTTCTTACTTGTTTGATGTTGCGGTATTTCTATTTTTCGTCATGCTTTTTTCTTTTGTCTTCAGCCTTCTTCATTCCTCTCTCACTTGTGTCCCTTCCAAGGACATTCTTGAAAGGAGAGCTGCTATGATCGAGATGGAACAGGCCTGCCCTGTGTTCACTCTGTGCTTCTGTGCATCAGTACTTTGTTTTTTTCTTTTTTGCAGTTTTCTTCTTCTGATTTACTTTGGTTGCAGAGAAGCCCATTACTTCATTCTTAATGTGTTTGTCTGGTCAGTATGGGTTGTGTTAGCATATTGAGGGAGTAAAACAATGCACAAAAGTAGGATAACTTCATTAGTGAATGCTGGTTATGAAACTTCAGCAGTATTGTCATAAAAATTTTCATCAATGTTGTTGGTTGCCCCAACACCTCAGTCAATTAAACAGAAAGACTGTTTTGATGCTGCTAAAGGTTCAGTACGTTTAGTGTTTCAGTCTAAAATTGACTGACTGAAAATTCATTTTTGCCAACTACTAAATCATTCAATTGAAGCAATTAAATCAGCCAATCAGGTCAAGCCTCCTTTAAATATTTAGTTCCAGACCAATTTGCTGCTCTTTTCCTTGGCCTGGATGACCAAAGGTGTGGCCTGCTGTTCTACAGTGCCTCATTCTCTGATATTCTATCAGTCCTTGACACTCTGTTATGAACCAGTGAGTGAATTATTGAATAACAAGTTAGGAAATTTAGCTGTACTATATTAGCCATTTAAATAAAATAAAAGTCAGGGGTGACGATGTCAGTGAGGGCTTCAGTGATTGGAACGTAGTTCAAATGATCATGTTGAACAGTCCCAGCAGCCATCAGAGAAATAATTTATAGTCCTAGTTCTTGCATCACCCTCTATGGCATGGTAAGAACATTATGAGTGTCTGAATATAATGATACCTGTATTATCAAAAGTATTTTATAATGTGCAAAGATAATCTTACTACACTTCATATCATTTAATATTTTTATAATGACTGTCACAAACATTTTTGCAAGTACTGTTTAGGATAGGCATAAAGAGCACAGCATGTCTAGAGTTCACTGGGCTCCAATCTCCTTAGATACTACTCTGATGATATTTAATGGCATAATTTGGAAGTAAGGCCAAGCTCACCAATAGCCCAGCCCACAATTCACAAGGTTCAAATAGATAGTCTTGTGGTACCAGACACCTTAGACACCACTAGATGTTATTTTTAATGTGAAGCAAGTGGTCATAATGTTGTGGTTGCAGTATAGCACGTACACTACATTGCCAAAAGTATTTGCTCACCCATCCAAATTATCGGAATCAGGTGTTCCAATCACTTCCATGGCTACAGGTGTATAAAATGAAGCACCTAGGCATGCAGACTGTTTTAACAAACATTTGTGAAAGAATGGGTCGCTCTCGGGAGCTCAGTGAATTCTAGCGTAGAGCTGATAGGATGCCACCTATGCAACAAATCCATTTGTCAAATTTCCTTGCTCCTAAATATTCCACAGTCAACTGTCAGCTGTATTATAAGAAAATGGAAGTGTTTGGGAATGACAGCAACTCAGCCACCAAGTGGTAGGCCACGTAAACTGACGGAGCGGGGTCAACGGATGCTGAAGTGCATAGTGCAAAGAAGTCGCCAACTTTCTGCAGAGTCAGTCACTACAGACCTCCGAACTTCATGTGACCTTCATATTAGCTCAAGAACAGTGCGCAGAGAGCTTCATGGAATGGGTTTCCATGGTCGAGCAGCTGCATCCAAGCCATACATCACCAAGTGCAATGCAAAGCATCGGATGCAGTGGGGTAAAACACACCGCCACTGGACTCTAGAGCAGTGGAGCACGATCTCTTGAGTGACGAATCGCGCTTCTCCATTTGGCAATCTGATGGATGAGTCTGGGTTTGGTATTTGCCAGGAGAACGGTACTTGTCTGGCTGCATTGTGCCAAGTGTAAAGTTTGGTGGAGGGGAGATTATGGTGTGGGGTTGTTTTTCAGGAGCTGGGCTTGGCCCCTTAGTTCCAGTGAAAGGAACTCTGACTGCTTCAGCATACCAAGACATTTTGGACAATTCCATGCTTCCAACTTTGTGGGAACAGTTTGAAGCTGGCCCCTTCCTCTTCCAACATGACTGTGCACCAGTGCACAAAGCAAGGTCCATAAAGACATGGATGCAGAGTCTGGTGTGGATGAACTTGACTGGCCTGCACAGAGTTCTGACCTCAACCTGATAGAACACCTTTGGGATCAATTAGAGTGGAGACTGAGAGCCAGGCCTTCTCATCCAACATCAGTATGTGACCTCACAAATGTGCTTTTGGAAGAATGGTCCAAAATCTCCATAAACACACTCCTAAACCTTGTGGACAGCCTTCCCAGAAGAGTTGAAGCTGTTTTAGCTGCAAAGGGTGGACCAACGTCATATTGAACCCTATAGATTAGGAATGGGATGTCACTTAAGCTCATATTTAGAGTCAGTGCAGGTGAGTGAATACTTTTGGAAATGTAATGTATTTGTTTCCAGTGACACCAAATCTAGACTTTGCATTTTACTTCTAAACATTTTGCTTCACGAGAAATAAAAGCTATAAAAAAAATTAGCTAATCAGGAAGCATCTGGATCACCTCTCCTGGGAGGTATTTTAGGCACACCCTTCCAATATGAGATGCTGGGGCAGACCCAGAACCCATTGAAGGGATCCTGTCTGATTTGGAAATACCTTGGCATCCCCCCCAGTTGAACTGGAGAATGTTGTTGGAGAGAGAGATCCTCTCTTTTTGAGCTGCAGCTTCTGCGACACATCCACCCATCCAGCCATCTTCTTTGCTCACTTTATGTGCAGGTTCACGGGAATGGTAGGCTGATGCCTATCTCCACTGGGCAAGAGACATCATACACAGCAACCTCAACTAAGCAGTAGAAAATGAACGGATAGATGAAAAGCTGATTAAAAAATGTTTTTCATATTTTGAATTTAGTTAGTATTTACTTAAATATTGAATCAAAACAACCCAAGGAAGTGTTTCAAACCGTGTTTCTGATTGATTATAATAACATTGATAAGCACATTATAACTGAGAGATATTACAAACCAAAAATTAAGTTAGTGACATACTCCCCCCCCCCCCCCCCCCCCCCACACACACACACTCACAGGACATGTGCCGCTTGCCAAAAAGGGCTAATGAGGGTTGTATGTTGTGGCGGCTGGTTGGGTCGACACAGATCGAGGTGCCTTCAGCCGTTACAAATCTGTTTGGCTTTTGTCCACTACACTGCAATTAATAACACTAGGAGTGGGGGCAGGGATGCAAAGGTCACCCTTTTCAGCTGGACCAACAACAAACACACATACACAGAGACAGATATATGTACAAACATTCAGTATGACACATTGGTGTTCTGTGAGGAAATATTAATGCATACATGAACAGAAGTACACATACACACATGCACCAGTTGGTTTGTGCACCGATGGGTCTCACAGTAAATCACAAGTTTATATTTTACATTAATAAGTAATATCCGTGTTAGCTTGGTAAACAAATAGAGGCCAGGTAACCTCAATATTTATACTCTCACATAGAACTCTACTGTATTAAATTGTTGTGCTTAATATTACATATAAATACCTTCAGACTTGCTCCTCTTACTGCACACCTGCACACACAGAGCTCTGCATATTTCATTTATTTTGTAATTTAATCTGGTGCTCTGGAAGGAATGAGAATGCGAAGGCAATGGGACCGCATTGTAATTCCTTTTTAAATGTCAGCAGCAGCAGAATGTGTTAACCTCACATTACAGACACACTTTGAATATCCTGATTCTGGTGTGGAAGCTTGTAATTGAAAACAGAAGTTGGGTTAGGAAAGAAAGCACAAATGAATTAGAGAAAAAAGGAAGAGATAGAAAAAGAGGGAAAAAGATGCAGGATTGTTGATGATCTATGTCTAAATTCTTACTGGTATTGTGCTTGTGGAAATAGATTGGTTTTACTCTTAACTTTGTGAGCGTCTCTTCAAATTATCATGGTGTGTGTGTTTTAGTAATCGTTTCCAAATGCCCTTTTAAATTATTACTCTTGTAACAATAAGGCTGTGTGATTGTGGGATGAAATAACAATGTATGGGGTTTTAATGCGTCCCATTTAGACAGCTTCGCTAAACAGATGTCACAGACATGCTTGTCCTGGCTGTGGTGATGAAATATATCCATCATCCTCCCACTTCTATCCTCTCGTGCTTTCATTTTTTTTTTTGGGGGGGGGGGGGGGGTCCTGCCAAGCGGTCTCATTTCCTTGTTTTTATCCTCCCAGTTTATTTGCCTTTTCATGTCTGCAAGTGTGATTTTGCCTTTTTTTTCCCCCAGTTTTTTTTGGTTTTTGTGTTTATTTTTTACTTTGAAGGACACTTTGGGGAATTATCAGACATGCACAAATATTTTTAAATTGAGTTTACATTGTGTACAAATCAACCAAATCCCTTGTAATGTAACCTGTCAGTTTGCTCTGAAAAAATATAACACATAAATTGTTGTCATATAGCGAACTTGTTGTAAATAAATTTATGAATAAAGTAAACTATTTTTCATGTAAAATCTGACACCTTGCAAATGTGATAAATTGGCTTTTAAATGATGTACATTATAAAGATGACCAGCAGATTTTGTTTTGATTTTATTTATCACATTGTTATCTCAATTTAGTATTTTATGTATTAGAATATAAACTAAATGGATGTAGAACCTTAAATATATTTCTATTGACAGAGTAAGCATAGATTTTAGATATATTGTAACATCATTACTACAATAAGCGCTATTAAATTTTTAAATAAATTTTTTTTTTTTTACTTTTCCCTTATACTTCAAAACATGTATCAAATAGAAGAAGGTTACCTAAATTTACAGTTTTTGTGAATGTTTTGTATTTTCTGTAGGAGGGAGCTTGATGAAATCCAGGAACTCCAAAGAAGAGAGAGAGAATATCTGAAGATGGTAAAAGAGCAGACAGCCGAAGTCTACCAAGCTCATCGGTTACATCACCTCATCAGCACAAAGCAGGTTGGTGTAAAGAAACAATGAAAGATGTGTTTAATCATGTTTTGCATTGGTCTATGTTCAAAACTATAATGAAATTCATTTATGACTAGAAATATGTGGAAAAGTTAACATTTTATAAGGAGAAATAGTCAATAAGTGATCATTTAATTAATTTGACATAATATCTATATATAAATATGAGTTGGAATGTGCACTAGATGCAGATTAGAATAAGATATGCCTATTAGAAAACTGTTTTAAAGGCAGATTAGAAAGAAAATATGGTATACACATACTGGGATCACTGGATGGTGTCTTTATGAACTCAATTTTATGGTAATCTCAATTATGTAAAAAAAAAATAAAAAAATCACTGTTCACCTTTTTTAATGCTACTTATGCACATTCCAACTTGTTTTTCCATAACTGGTCACATATAATAACGATTAAAACATCTGTGCATTTTATGTAAAAAATAAAATAAAAATCCTCCTCATATGATTGTGTTTATTTTATAGTTGCATTCACAGAAATGTTGTAGTTTACAACTTTTATTTTTCTTTGGTTGCAACACTTTAATCTGCAAACTGTTATTACACGTTTTCATTTATTGTAAGGTGTAACAGCAGCTAATTAAGTGTAAAGAAATGTTGACAAATTATTTGGCTTTAAAAAAAAAACAAGGAAACAGTCTATTTATTGGTTAATAACACTAAGCATGCGCTGAAAATTACGTTAAAGTGACAATTTGATAGTATAAATATTTCACCTTTTCACTCATGCCCTCATATGTGCCTGAAAGTCAAATGTTCTGGGAATCACATGACTGTAGACAAGCAATAAGTATTGGGGATGTCCTCAAGAGACTGGCTACAGTGAGGGGGAAAAAAGACTTCCTCCTTTTATTTTGTCAACAAAGTGGCTGTGTGGAGTTGAGTGTGTCCTCGTGGTTCTTCTGATGTGCTGAGGGGAGTATTTTACTGCTTCCCTGGGCACAGGTGCACGTGTCTATGTGTGTGTGTGGCGTCTACAAATCTCTTGACTCCCCTCTGGGATCATAATGAAGACAAAGCACACTGGTCACTGTTGATTCAGCACCACGACTCCTCTCACTTTTTCTGTGTCTTTCTTTCTCTCTTTCCTTCATGTTTTTACAACCTGCATTGTCATCATCTAAATTACTATGTCCTGCATGGTTTTCTTAATCTCGTTATTACAAACCCTTAATTTTAATAAATTTAAGATAGGAAAGATATTTGAACTATTTAAGGATGCGTGGAGTTGTGTGTTTAATTTTATATTTATTTACAGTATATGGGTTGTATACCCTCTCTCTTTCTCTGCATATGGCAGGGGTACCTTTCCCTTAGTAGCTCTGACCTTGTCAGCTGTGAATAGATGGCTCTCCCACACAGTTCATCCTTCCACACATTTAGAACCCTAGGTCCACACACACGCACGCACACACACACACACACACACACACACACACACACCACACACACACCAATAGTCGCACACAACTTACCAAAAGGCCCCAAGTCCCTCTGACAGAGACGGAGTTGCTGTGTTCTTGGGGTCAACATCATTGCTCTTCTCATAGCTTGCCTGATACGTGTGTGTGCGTTTGTGTGCGTGTTTTAAAGTTGTGCAATTTATGTGTGAATATGTTTGTTGTTTGTATGTCACCAGTGTTTGAATAGTGTTATTGCAGCTGCCTCATAATTAGTGTTAATATGTGTCAATATGAATAAAGCATCTGTCAGTTTCTGAACTGCCATCTTGAAGCCTCGAGTTCAGCTTTTGTTTGTTACTGCCTGAGCCTGTTCAGAGACAAGAGTTGCTTTATGTGGATAAGGAGATTAAGCTGAATCTTGGTTGAGTAAAATATAGGTGTTGAGGCTTTGTTCAGTTTGGTCTTAAAGATAATTTACCCCTTTCTTTAAGGGATTTTATTCACATGTTTTGTATATTTGCACTATGACTGGGTGGTAAGAAACGTGTTTTTTCCCAGTTGCAGCTACAAATTCTTTCTTCTCTTTTGGCAACATGGCATTTCATCAAAAGTTATTTTATCGCCTAATGAAACATTTACTTATTAACTAGATTAGCTATATATTTTCAAGTATTAATGCTTTAGTTAATGTAGTTAGTACAATACTCTCTTATTGTTCAAGTCCTTTAGAGTAGCTTAAATAGCAAGCAGTGTTATTAGCATATAAAGTAGATAAAGAGTCCCTCCGACTTAAAGCTTTGTTCTGGTAATTAACGCACGGGCAGACAGATCACTGTGATTTGAATAATTATTGTCTGCAGCTTATCTCTACCAAATTTAAAAATGATGAGGCAAAGTTTTGTTTATGTTTAAATGCATTTACACAGTAAAGATTTAGAATTTGTCACATTTGCATGTGAAGATTGTTAGTTTTTCACTCATTCACTCATTCATTCACTCATTCATTCATTCAGTCAGTTAGTCAGCAGGAAGTAACCAGTGTCTTGTCTGTGGTACACAAAGTTTTAGAAGCTGTCAGTTTGAAGCAGTGTGCTGTCTTCCTGACAGGTATTGTATTATGTTGTGATATTTTATTTGGCTAATTTTGGATACTACAGAAATAAATAAAGTTCCAAATTAAATTCAGTCAAGTAAAATTTTGTTCTATTGAATTCATTCTAATCAAAACAGCTCAGTAATAAAGCATTAAAGTTTTATCCTGATGCATGCTCAATAATCCAGGTAGAATAATCCAAAAAAGTTCAATCTGGTCCTCTGGACATTCTGGTCCCAAGTTGGCTTCCCTACCACTGCACCACAGCCACAATAAAAAATAACTTAAAATCTTAAATTTGTCATAATTCAAATGTCAAGGTTCAGGGTGACCTTGTTATTCGCATCACGTGAAGTGGAAGAAAGTTGTGTACTCGAGGTCTCAGTTACACCCAAAAATAGCAAAAATATAACTATAAAAAATAAACAATATACAAGGATCTAAGATGTATGCTAAACAATAGTAATATAGTATAATACCTAGAACTGTCACAATAACAAATTTTGCTGGGCGATTAATTGTCTCAGAAATTATTGCGATAAACAATAATAATGTTTGAAATTTGACGATAATTGTAATTATCGTCAAATTGGAATGGATAGTGAGGGAGTGTGCAGCTTTTCTTTAAGAAAAATGGGAGGGAGGCCTCTTGACATGACATGGGTGGTCTCTCTTTGGTTCTCAAAATGGAGGATGCTTATTGTGGTTCGATCTCTTTAGCATAACATTTGTCAAACAAAGCTTTTAATAAAAAATCAGTAAACACGTTCTCAGCTTCTTTTTGCAGAGAAAAACTACTTTTTACACAAAGGCACAGGTTTCAACTGTGAATTTTGGAGCTTTGACAAGACGGAGGTTTTTTTCCCCAAGGTCGGCCTGTTAGCTTAGCTCATAGCTTAGGTTCTCAGCTTAGCTGCTTTTAATGATCCAAAAATGGGATTTTGGACAGTTAAAATGGATTTTAAAGGTTTAAAGGATTTCACTACACGGTGTATTAAACAGCAGCCTGAACATGAGTCTGTTGTGAGCAGATGGGTTTGAATATAGCAGCTTATGTGCAAGAAATCAGCAGCACAGATAAAGTGTCAACTCTCCAATTAAAGTGGTATTACAGTGATTTTCTTGGTTAGGGATTCATGAGTCTAGAGTAGAAGCTGTTCCTCAGTCTAGTGGTTCTACACTTAATGCTCTGCAACTTACTGCCTGAGGGGAGTGAGGCAAAAGGTGTGTGTGCTGGGTGAGTGGGGTCCTTCATGATGCAGGTAGCCCTCTTCTTGCATCTGGATATTAACAAGTGGTGCTTTTGTGACATCATGCTTAAATGCCATATTTGTAGAGTTTAGTTGATGCTTGATTTGCTAATGGGGTTTTTTGGTGCCAAAGGTTTTCAAATTTCTTTCATTTTATAAATATATATAGTTATGATAGAATACTTATCAGTAATTATACGAGTAGTGATACTCAATCTTATTTACTGACAGCAAACATGGCCAAAGGATTCAAGTTAAAGTTTAAGCTTATTTATTGCCATTTCAACCATATAGCATGCATAGCACCCAGTGAAATGAACAGTGTTCCTCCCTGACCTAGGGGCTGCATAAAAAATATCAGTTTCACAATACTTACAAAGGGCATGTGTGCAAGCAGCAGCACAAAAGTACAGTAATGACACAAGACTACATAAATGTGCTTTTGCAAATATTTGCATCACAAACTGGGTGAAATTCAAAAACAGTATTACTGTTGTGGCGAGGTAGTGCTGATACCTGTTGTCCCTTTAACTGTAAGTGAGAGTAAAGTGTGCTGTTGTTAAATGTTCCATGTAAACATAGACTGTTTTAGCATCAAGTGAACAATAATTTGATTGTCCAATATGAAATAGGATAGGAAAAAGGATCAAGGAAATTTGTTTTATACCCTGAAGATTTTTAATGTTGATCTGTTTAGTCGTGGCTATTCTCAGTCACTTTACTCTAGAGTTTATCCAGGTGTGAGAATAAATATGAAGTTGTTCCTGGTTCGGCTGTGGTTCAGCTGTTAAAGCAGTCGTCCTTTAACGAGAGAGTGAGGTTTGATTCCATCAGTATGCAGTCATGTGTCAAAATGTGCCTGGGCAAGACACTGAACACCCCCATTGTCTCTGTTGTGAGCCCCATCAGTGCATGATTGCAATCCAAAGGACTGATTAGTCTCTGTAGAATGATTTATTCAGATTAACTTTGTAGAGATGCTGTATTGTGTTGTATGAATGTGTGTTTGGATGTGTTTGACTTTGTGTTACAGAAATTGTTTTGTAAACCACTTTGAGCCACCTGGTTGCCTAGAAATAATCTATGTAAGTACAGACTTTTTACCAAAGCTAAATAAAGGGCGAATATTTGCGTCAGCATCTAACATCAAACAAAATTAAATCATTGTAACTTAGCTCATAGCCAAATATAGAAATCAACATTTCTAAATAAATAAGCATTAAATTAAATTAGTAATGAATTCCTTAAAAAAAAATCACTTAAAATCATAATTTGTCATGGTAAAATAAAGTTTTTTTGCCCCAAATATAATATATATGCATTCTGTTACAGCGCACGGTTTTTAACAATGACCTGTGTCTAAGATTAATCTTGTGCTAACCTCTTTCTCTGTCCCTTCTTTTTCAGTCCCCAGGAGTTTTCAACTCTCCATTTAGGCCAGGCCCTCATGAGATGGAGCTACTGTTGAGGGAGGTCAAGTATCAGACCCCCACTAGTCTGGCCTCTAGACATCGAGGTTGTTTCAGGGACATGTCTGACCGAGCAAGACCTAGTTTCTCTGGGACTTCTGAACCCCTATGGATCAAATCCACTAGAGCCTGCGACTTAAGGCCCAAGCTACCTCCCATTACCAGCAAGAAACAGCAGGTGAAGATGGTCAAAGCTAGGATTGTAACAGATGTGGGAGACATTTGAATTAAACACAAAAAAATTTAAGTATGCAAGAGGTCCAACTCAGTATTAGTTGTGTCATACTAATAAAAATCTGTGTTGCCCATAGCATTTGACTGTTGATACTAACAGCCCTTAAAATCATTTTAGACTAGAATGAAACATTAAACATTTGTAGACAGCATTCTTTTGGAGTCACACAGTGTTGTGTGGCTTTTTTTTTCGCCCCCACAAACTTTGACATATATGTAACATTTAATATTCATATATGTTTGTTTGTGTTCCACAACGTGTTTTTTTTTTTTTTTAAATAGGTTCTGTGCTAATTTACCATTGACATTACGCACCAGTACAATCTGAGTTAAAACAGACACTGATTAAATTGAAAAATTAAATCAAAATTTCTTGTTTAAACTTATTTTTTTGTAGTTCTTGTACATATTTTTATATGTTGACTAGATGAAATAAATATTGCGTGGGTATTCAAGGTTCCTCTCACTCACAGTCTTGGTTAACTGAACATTCTATATTGCTCAAGGTCAAAGTATGAATGGTTATTTTTGCCTTTTTTATTTCTGTGTTTGTGATAGACTGGCAACCTAACCAGTAACAACTTGAGCTAGACACCAACTTCCTGTGAGCCAGAAGAGGAACAAGCAGGTATAGAAAACAGTTGGATGTTCCACGTTACAGCCCCATGTTAAAAATATTGAATAGTTCTAAGGTTGCACATTTGTACAAGTTTGTAGTCGTACAAACACTTTTCCATGCTATGACATGGAACATAACAGGCATCGTTTAAAACACTTTTGAAGCAGTTGCAGAATGCATTTTAAGGACTTGTGGCCAGAAAAATATTCTTGACTCTCCAGAGAATTGGTGGACACTGTCATTAGGCTCGACTGTTCTTAGAGTTTCCTGGTGCAGTTAAGTGGCGAAAAGAGCAGCGGCTACAGCAGTTGCAGAAGTCAAAATGCAGGCGTTTGAGGAGGCCATGAAGAGTATACGTTTTAGTCTAGTTTTGCATTTGTGACCATAGTGTGACGTCATATTGGATTTGGTCTTTTCACATTGTGTTTTGTATGCCCTTTACCAATTTTCAGAGTGGCAAAGCGCTCTGAATGTTGGTTTTTTTAATATAATAAAACATAAGCAAGCAGAAATGAGCCATAATGTTATTTTATTAAATGCACTTACCACATTTAGTAGCACACAGTCCAGATGGCTGTAGAGTGATTGAGGCCATTAGTTGTGCCATTAAGGGCTCATGTACTGACAGAAAGATTCATTGTGTATCCTTAAATATAGATGTTTGTCTTTGCCTTCCTGTCTTTTGTTTGTTTGTTTGGTTTAGGGTGTGTTTTCAGGACAGGAAGTCCCCTTTTCTGTTGCAATCACCCCTACACCTCACATGTCTTCCATCCCTGGTGTGATAACTATCTAGTGGTGATGGATAAGGTTGAGGTGCTGGCTGTGGAAGTGGTCAGGCCAGGCCACTGATCCTGTAGCGATAGGAGCAAGGACGGGGTCTCTGTCCCTTCCTCTATCGCTCCCTGTTATGCTCCCTCCTTTTTTTTTTTTAACACCAAACAACAACTGAAGGTCACCTCAAGCAGCACAAAGCAATTTAAGTTAATTGTCAGTGCAAAAAGTTAACCTCACAAGCCTTATAATATCACTTTTACGCCACTGGATGTTTTTAAAAATAAATGCATTTTTAGTGGATCAGCTAGAGTTTCTTATTCATAAAACACTGAATTTAAAAAATATATATATTTTCTGGTTTGTAAGTTTAGAATTAGGTAATACTTTAAGAATGAACAAGATTCGCACTGGACAGTGTTTCTGTATAATTACCTAAATTCAAAGCCTAGAGTTTTAATTGGGAATTGAGCAAAAGTTTGATGTGTGTGTCTTTGTTGAAACACTTGACTGTAATCTCATTATCACTCAGGCTAATCTACTGAGTTCTCTGTGTGTTTGTGTGTGTGTGTGTGTGTGTGTGTGGGGGGGGGGGGGTAGTGCTGTTATTAACCCTCGGTTTGATTTGACTCGCATAAATTTTCCTGACTACACTAATAAGGACCACCCAGCACCAGATTTTCTTTTTCTGTCGTTTTTTTAAACATTTTTGTCTTGTTCAAGACAGACATCTTTCGTTTTGTCACTTGATTTCATAAATTCTTTATAAGCTTTTAGAGGAGACATTATCAAAAATACACATAGACACATAAATATATACACATTATTTATTTATTGGTATTTATTTTACATCTCTATGCTATTTAGGACAGCAAGCTATGTTCGTCCTTAGGTCCTCCTTGCAACACTACAAAATAAAATCAAGGCATGAGATGTTAAACTAAAACACAAATAAAATAAAAGATAAATAAAATAAAATATTAGGTAAATACAAATAAAAGTTACTCAACATCATTACAGATAACAACTAACCCAATCAGCCATACAGTTGACAAATTCTGCTTTAAATCTGTGAAACAACATGAAAGAAAGATGACAGACAACCTTTATATCCCAGACTCTGTGAAAATATTCCTGAATATTTACAAAGTGGGCTCTCTAGCTTATTTGTATCTGCTGTGAGGAACCAGTGAAACTACATGAGCCAATGAAATGAGAAGCTAATGTCAAGATTTGCTCAGTGGGCTCAGCCTATCTAAAGTCACCAGTTTGTAATTGTTTGTCACCTGAGTCTGCAATACTTGCCCCTTGGCCCTATAGCTTCTCTTCTTCTTCTTTGTTTGTTTTTCTGCAAAAGGTTAACTGTTATTACAATAACAAATGTCATAATTTGTAGTGTTTATAGCTAATTTGTAATGTCTGTCTTCAGATGGGTGTTGCAGTTACATTAAAAACAGTTTGAAAGACAAAAGACATTAAGGCAAGGGTATGAAATACAAAATAAAATGCATAAGCTAGACAACAGAATTATCAAAAGTAAAAAAAGAGGTGACAGTCATTCATGAATATACAGTATCTTTGTTCTGAAATTGTGCCAGTCCAGATTTCTGATTTCTGGAGGCATGAAAATTCAAATAAAAATTTAAAAACATTATTGATCTGCATAATGGTGTTTTGCTATTCCCACTGAAATTTACTGAATATGTAACTAACTCTTAAAGCCTAATTTTTGGTTGATGATCTGTTTGACTGTCCATTGTGCAACATAATTTTGTTTTGGTTTATTCCTACACAAACATCTGCTAGCTCCTTCCAAGCCAGCATTTCATGACCATGAGAACTGTTGGCACTGAGAGTCATACCACCATTTTAAAGGTGGTGTCATACACAACAGACAAAGAAAACCTAGCATCAAACCATATCCTATCAACCTAGCAAACCATAGCAGTGCAAGTGTAAGACAAGGATGCTTGTTCTGAGGAAACGCTGTGTATCGAAACTGCTATTATTATATTATTGATAAAAATAATGAATAAAAATAACGACTAAAGGACATAAAAGTTGCATCACATTTCTGGCAAAAAAATCACTCTTCTCTTTTTTTCCATCAAATAAACAATTGCTCCATATGACTTACAGTATTTTCCCTGTAATGGACTTGTGACTTGTCCAGAGTGTCCCCCACCTCTCACACAGTGATGGCTGAGATATGGACACTAGTGACCCCCGTCCACAACCCGAAAAGGAAGAAGCAGGTAAAAGATGATGGATGGACTTACGGTATTTTAGGCTGCAGTTAAATATTGAAATTATAATGGAATACAGTACATAAATTAATCATTTGAAAGGGTAGGGATGCTGTTTTCTTATACTGTGAAGTTTTAAAGTAAATCAACTGTTAGTTTTAATTAGTGTTGAATAGTAATCCCAACTTTGTAACGTTTGGTCATGAAGCTACTTCAAATTCATCACAGTCAAACTGATGGCATACATTGGTTTAAAATGGTTCCTGGATTTGGTCACAAATGATCAGTCCTCTCCTCAAAAAAAAAGGTGAAAAAGTAGAGCCCGAACCATCAACTCTGGTTGTACAAATTTGTCAAAAGTGACAGCAATTTAATAAATCATCGCTCTCCATCACACGCATATGTACACCCACCCACTCAGATACACCCAATCTTGAGCTATGCCCTCCACTGCTCGATCTACATGTATACGTAAATGAGGTGTATGCATGAGTGTGTGTGTGTGTACACGATTGTTAGTGAGAGAACGTGTGAGCATGGGGCCCTGCAGTCAGGTCCAGGCATTAGGTAATTGACTGTGTCTTTGCTCAAGGCCTTTCATGGATCACCGTCCTTTATTAGCTCACTTCCCAGCACACACACTCACACACACACGAACAAAGTTCCCAGCAGCTCCACCCCATCCTCTTACTCCCCACCTTCAGCACCCGGAGCCAATTGCCCAGAAAAGAGGAGTGAAACAAGAGAGAGTGAGAGGAGCAAGGGAAGAAGAGAACAGCCACAATGGGACAAACTCAAACGGCTCCAGGACGTGTCGATAAATAAGTATGATGGCAGGTGGATGAAGTCTCCTCCAGCTGACAACATAGATTGACAGAGTAAGATCCTGCTCCTAAGAGCTTGGTGAACCATCTGCATCATGAAGTATTTGTAAAATGCAGTCTTAATGACTAAGTTGTGTAGCTCTGCATGTTTGTAAATAAATTTAAAATGCCCAATAAATGGCACTTTTAAGAATATTGTAGTTCATTATTCAAATAAAAAATGTGAACATAGCATTAACCTAAATAATTGCACTGTACTAACATTCATAGTTACTCATGGTAACTGTGGCTGTGTAGTGGCCAATCTAGATCAACATAGCGATAAAGATTTTACATGGTAATATTCCATCCTTAGCTGCATTGCTTGATCTAACTGGATGTTGTCAATGTTGATTCAGACATACTGCGCTTGTGATTTCAACTTTTCTTGTGTCTATTGAAGTGTTTGTTGTGATTTTGCTCTGAGCAGTTACATTATGTTGCAAACTACTGCTGCAAAACCATAAACCTGGTTTAAACAAACACAAATGTAATTTAGTATTTCCATCCGTCCAACCATCTATCCATCCAGTGGCAATTTCTGATATGGGCAACTACCCAGGGCGGCATCTCGTCAAGGGTGGAACGAGCACCTGTCCCCATCCTCTCCCTTAAAAAACCCTGTATAATTTCATATAACTTGTTTAGCCTATGTATCAGTTTCCCGTCCCCCAATTGTGAGGAGTGGGCACCTTCTGCCAGGTGCAGGGCTTGTAGCTTCTGCTGAGGTCTGTCACACAGGTTGTGAAAAAAAAAGAGTATGGGGAGGGGGCGGGGGAATCTTGTCTCCCTTGCTGAGCCATGGATGCATCTAATAAAACACCTAATACAATTAGTTTAAGTAAATCCCACCATTGATTGCTCCCAAACAAAGCAAATTCCATTCATAATATTGTGAATATAGACAATAATTCACAGCTTATTTGTGTGAAACTGCTGAAAAAACAATACAAAAAATGAATCTGTTGCATAACATTTTGCAAAAAAAAAATTGAACAAGTTTTCAGTTGTGCAGTTTAATCTTTATGGTTTGAAAGCAATATTGTAGAATCACTTACTGATAGAAGATTAAGACTTTACATGAGAGTTGTGCTATTTAATTTGTGTTTCTTGAAGTTCAATAATGT